ATTATATTATTTTTTTATTATTTTAATTAATAGATTGAAATCATTTACACTAATATATAATTGTCAGATTTAACAAACAAACAAATCAATAACCTTTAAACACCAGTAACATAAATTTAATGAAAATTTCAAACGTTTTTGGCCTTATCCAAGACCTGCCAGGTTTACAGCATTCCAAATAAAAAAAAATCATTATTAATTACTCTTTACTAATTTGAAACCATGTTGTTCTATGTTTTGTTTCACAAGCACGATAAAGTGTATTCAATCAGACACTATAGGATTGCCTGATATTATATAGGAGATTAAACAAAAAATAAAAGTTAGACGTAAGGAATATATAGCAGATCTAAAATACTGCAGGAACAACTCAGTGTTCTATGAACACTGTACACTATATAATTGTAACATAGACAAAGACAATATAAAAATTTTACAAAAAGAAAAAGATGCATACAGTAGAAATAGTATGATTTAGTAGTATGATTTTTGTTTATACTATTTTTATTATTCAGAATCTCTATGCATACAGTAGAAAACTTAAAGAAAGCATAGAGATTCTGAATAATAAAAATAGTATAAACAAAAATCATAGCATCAAAATAAATGAGAACTGGTTACAAATATTGTAAAGAAACTGAACATAAAATTAAATAAGTATAAGCTATAAGTTTTATAAATTGGAAATATTAAAAATTGTAATAAAAACTATTGTAAAAAAGATTATTGTATTTTCATCATAAATGTATTTAAATTAGTTATGCATTACTAAAAATGACCTGTGAAAATTGGGAAAGAAAGATATCAGAAGATGTTATTAAAAAAATATCTCTTAATGACTTATAATTTTTTGATAATGAAAAATTTGGAAAAATCTAGCTATAGGGTAATCATGTAAATAAAAAGTAAATTAGAAATTTGGTGCAAGATTAAGCGATGAGAATAATGAAGTACTGTAAGAGAGAGTGCATGATCAGAAAATTTCCTTTTTACAAGAAACCTTCCAGAATGTTTAAACTAAACATGTATTGTTGAAGTTTTAACAAAAAGTGTTTTAATAATTTACAAGCTTTTGTCTTAAAAGAACACAACAGGTATGTCATTTGAAATGTTAAATTATATGCTTAATACTATATAGAAACGTAATATAATTTATTAAATGGCAGAATGAAAAGAAAACTCTGTAATCATGCATACCCAATTTTAAGAAACTATGTTAGAAAATCACTCAAAATCAGCTAATGTGTAATACAGAACAGAAGGTATATTCTTTGTAATTACATGTGTTATCTTAATAATTTAATGCTATGTAATAACCATGTACATTTTTTAAAATAGTTGACTGAGGAGGAGCATTGTGGCCTGAAACACATATCAACTAAAAAAGAAATAAAGGATAAAAAGCTGCCCAGTGTCTGATTGAATGCATTTTATCGTGCTTGTGAAACAAAAAAATTATTAATTATTATAACAGTATTACATATGTTGATTACTCCTCATTCTTTATTCTAAAATTTTAACTTTGTGCAATTTACGGTATGTATGTATTTTATACACAATACACATTTTATATACAGTACAGGTATACCTTGGATTATGTCGTTTCGAGTTAAGTCATTCTCCATTATATGTCATTTGTCAAAAAAAAATATATGAAAAAATAAAAATCAAATTTAAGTCATTTTATTCCATTAGACTTTATGTCTGTCCTCCACAAATATTGAAGTCATAATATCACTAGAAATATATACATTTACAGTAAATATTAATATAATCATCATAAATCCCAGAGAAAGTAATGTGAAAACATCTGTGACTCTGTGTTGCCATCTTATTTAGCAGTCTTTAAAAACTCAATATTGGCATTTTCCATGGTAGTTCCAATGTCTACTGTTTGGCATCGTTGTCAGCACCACTCATGATTCCAACAAATTGAATGTAAATATTGGTAAATTTAACATAAATTAATTTATTTTCTACTGTTGCAAAATAATTTTAATAACTATTTGTTATTTAACCTTACAAAATCATTTTATTTTATAATGTCTTAGAGCAAACCACAATCACAAATAAAAAGTCTGCAATGTAATGCAGTGTGATCATAAAATCACTTTGCTATAGGGAGATGTAAGGAAGGTGTGATGTTGATTAATAATGATATATCTAATGTACTGTAAAAATTCATGAAATATTTGCTTAGTGATCAAAAATTAAAAAAGTGATCATTTTGATACATTTTTTAATGATTTTACAATGTGCCACACAAGGTTAAACTTGAATTTGAAAATCAATAACAATGATGTTCACATCTTTGGAAACATGCTTAAAGTATTTCAGAAAAACTTATCAAACTCCAATAAAGTAAGTTATTGTTACATTATAAACTATTTGCAAACAAATGAAAAAATAGGTATCTTTGAATGTGAAAAACTCTGTATGCAATAATGATAAAATAATGACTAATTATCAAATTAATTATTTACAAACAGAATTATAAATAAACACTTGAAACCATTCCATTTAATTTACTTATATCAAAAATATATTTGTATTGATAGAAGCTATCTTATTATGAAAAAGAAATCTGCAGTGTGTCATTGATCATTTTAATAATCAAAGCCCTAAATAATATTAAATAAAAGTGTATAATTTACATATACAGTAAGACCCCTCTTAATGTGGGGATGTGTTACTAGATGAGAAAAGTGCTAAATGACATTAAATGAGGTCTTTTAACATAGAGTAAATAGAGAAAGGGGAACATGCAACCAAAAATAAACAGATTTTATTTTAATTTTAAGTTATTTTTATATTAATTTGCATAATAATATATGCTAAACAACACAAACATATGCACACAGAAATGTAAAGTTCACTTTTTGTGATGAAGGTCCTGGCTCTTCTGAAATTCTTGCTTTTTGTGATAAAGTCGTGTATTTCATTTCACTTTTTTCTTTCCTTAAGCAAACGTTGGTAACAGAAGATATGATCTTGTAATGTAGGTATTTCTATAGAATAAAGAATATAGATCTTAAGACACTAAATAATTTCAAATACAGGTATTTCTTATAGATGTGGAGTTAAGTAATGGATATTTTCCTGGGAGTGCAGGATATTTAATGTTCACAATATAACAGATTCTCAGAACAACAGATGAGTTTTGGCAATTTGTTGTTTTGTTAGATACAGCAACACAACACTCAGGCAATCTGTCTAGGGAGAATGCCTTCAAGGAGGTCTTTTAAAAGTAACTGGCCCCTATTTACACATTAAAGACATGGAGAAATCCCAGAAAACTCCAAGTGGCCAGCCTGTCCTGGCAAGGAATGAACCTTGATCAATCTACCAGTGTTCAGAGAATGGAATCACGTGGCCCAATTTCTGGTGGGTGGCATGAGTGGCATCCATTAAAACAGCATTCTATTGTATACATATACATGAATTTTTTAATTAATAGATTTTGAGCAATTTTTAATGCAAATTATGAAGAATAAGAAAATAAATATTCTAATCAGAATGTCTTTCAGTTTTTATGCAAACATTCTAAAATGCACATACATATTCTAAAATACATATTTCTCTTCTTTTAGATTTCTTTGAATGTGATGAAATTGGTGCTTATCATTGATCCATGCTTCAAAAATACTGCTCTTTCATGCTGTACATATGCTTGGTTTTATTGGTATATGGTAACACAACATTTGGATGATCTGCCAAAGGGAGAATGCCTCCCTGGAGGTCTTTTATGAGAAACTAGTCCCTATTTAGGTGTTACTAATGTAAAGAAAACCCAGAAAAGTCCACACAGCCAGCCCATTCGTAAGGTGCAAATCCACAACCAACTACCAGTGTTGAGTGGTTTTATCCACTTGGCCACTGATGCTAGGCATATGCAATAACATATGTTAAAGAAGAGGTAAAGGTAGTCTACTGTACAGAAACAAACTGTCCAAGAAATCACACTTCAAAACAATGACATTTGATCTTTCCACTCAATGAAAACAAGTACTAAGAACATATATCAGAAAAGCTTGTGTGTCACTTCAGAAAGCTATCTGGATACACCAACATCTGTACTGGAATCTGATTGTTCTTCAAGTGCTCCTTGCCACAGGTATTTAAGTGTTGTGTAAATTGACGTTAAAATTCCCTTGCAATCTTGCAACCTCAGCACCAAGTATCTATTTTTGAAACAGAAAACACAATCACAAAGAGAAACAGTCTGAATCCAAAACATGTGGAGAGGTTGCTAACAATATAACCAATAAATTGTAAAAGTGATGAACAAAGTTTAATTTCAGCAAATAGATTTGTGTAATTTTGTAAAAATCTAGAAACCTCCGAGTATTAGTGAGCAGATGCATTTATGTAAGGAAAATGAAAAACTGAAAACCTCACATCTTTAATTTTCGTTTCCCCAGACTTAAATAAATCCGCGAAAATTCACGCAACTTTAAAATTCCTGTTCTGGTACACAAGCCAATGACAGTCCACTTCGTATGAAACGACATATATCATTGGCTGGCTTGCTTTCTTAGTAGCTTGCCGCCAATACCGCCTCGAACCGGTTTGAGCCTCAATTAAGTGATCTGCCACGACCAATAGGAAGGTGGAAGACGATTTCCCATAGTGGTAATGTTATTTTACTATCGATAAAACGACCCCGTACATGTCGAAATATCGTTAGAGTAATCATTAAAAACATTAAATCAACAAACCTGAGAGCAAACAGAAATATTATATATTACTATGGCAGAAACTAGCGACATTTTGAAAAACGCCATCTCTCGGAACAAAATGAAACTAAAATTAAATTTTAGACATTAAACTTTACATTTTTAACTTTTCTGGTAATTATACGGTTTAAGGGAATATGAGTTTTTTTAATCATTTTATTTTGAAAAGAATGTAAATTTTATGGACATTCAGAAAACGCATAAAATTTTTTCAAGCGACCCGTATTTAAAGTTCTATAAACAAAAAATCATAGGACTACTTACCGATTGTGCCCCGTTCGAGACGCCATTTCTTAAGTTTGCCGTCGTCCTGGAGGTGCACGCTGAACGTAGGATGGTCACGTGACCCGATTTCGACGTCGCTCGGTCACGTGACTAGGCCTCTGACGACTTTCCGGGCAGTTATTCTTCTCGCGGAAGAATCCGTTATTTTCGCACTACACTTTGCAGGAATCACGTGATAGAGCGAACGACGTCTTATTATTAACACGTAATTAATTTAACGATTTGCGCAATTCAACCTCCAAGCGAACGGAACCTCGGTCCGTTTCTCTCTCGTTTTCCTTGTGTTACAATAGGGCCTTTCGGCAAGGTCGTTTCTCACTTGAAACAAACTCTAGAACGGAAAAACCACGTGATAAGCATCAACTTCGCGATTATTTCCAATCGTTCACGTTCGGGCTGTATTCGTACCGAACGAAACGAACCGAATATTTATTTATCATACAATTAAAGAAATGTCCGTGGATAGTTGATTTCCACCCCCTTTTAACAATTATACCCACAATAAAACTATATAAATACAGTAATTTAATAATAATCAAAGAAAAACAAAAGTAAAATATATACAGTATTTAAGAACACAACGGTCAGCTGTTGAGATAACTTTAAAATATAATAAAGATAGGAGACAGTGTTTTGATATTTCTGAAAGTATAAACCGTCAAAGCTCTCGAAATTTCTATTCCTGGAACGGGAATCAAGTCTTGAGGAATTGGAAAGCTCAGTTGATATTCCTAAAGAGGTGGATAGAATTAATATGCCATACAATACAACTGAAAAGGATTATTGGCCGTGTATCTTCCTTATTCTTCAATATAACATTTATTGCGACTAAATAAATTTATTTGCTTATAATAAACATTTAAAGTGTGGAATTCATTGTAAACAATGAAAGAAACGAACTTACTTGGTGGGCCAAGTATTTAACGTTAATACAAAGAATGAAGTTTATCGGTGAAACAACCGCTAAAACCTAACTCAATTATCCAAAAATTAGATCGTAACCTGTACGTTTCGAGTGTCAATGTTGGAGTGAACATGTCCTTACTCTAGCTAAAAGCAAAGTATTAATGAGAGATTTTAGTATCTATCAATTAATAATGTCATTATAAATCTATCTAGGCGCGGATCATTTTGTATCGAATTAATTAATGTTTATATAAATGACAAAATCGAATGCACTACTTTGGAATACGAGTTTCCAACGACCTCGATACAGTTGTGGCTCACGGTCATTCCTAACTCCATCTTTGTCGAGGTGATGCCATTCTTTTACACACACACACACACACACACACAAAATAATAATAATAAATAAGCTTTTATATGATTCCAACAAAGCGAGAGAGTTCGATCTTTCGCAGGAAAACTTATTTCTACTCCATTCGCGAGTTATTGTAATGTCGAGAAAAACGAACGAGAAACAGGTCGACGATCCAATCGGAGTTATTCATCCATTTACTCGTCGGAGATGGAATTGCGAAAATCGCCATCTTCTGTATGCCGATTATCGCTCTAAATCCGACCTTTGAATTGATTAGGAAAGATTTTTTCTCGTATTTATTCAGACGTGGAATATTCTATGGTGATCACCACGATACTTTTTTTCTAAGAAATTAAATTGATGCCGGATAATAAAAGTAATTTAAGTGACTTTTAAGGCCGACGATCACCTTTAGATTGCGAAAAAAATGACGCTTTTTGTATGGAAAAACCGTTGGCAAAACAAATGGCATTGGAAACTTTGGATATTAATGAATTCTCCAATCGGCCTTCAGAAGAATACAAGTGTCCTCTACCAACTCTTTAATAAAAATGTTTAATTAAATACGATATATTGTTAATGTTGTTGTTTTGTTGTAGCTAAGCAGCTTTTGCATGTTTTCGTGTTACATATTTTAATGGTAATTGATTCCTTTTAAACTCCGTTTTTTTACTTTTCTGAATATTGTATATAACAGAGGGAACGAAACGAAGTGTGACGATCCGTCAACTTATCTTATTTAAACTACAAAGCCTAGATTAAACAAATAATAAGTGAAATTGATGGCCATTTAGATGTTAATGAATTTAAAAAATTATCCCCCTCAAAATTTTTAATATAAACATAAAAATAAAACAATAAAAATAATAACATAGCACTTTATTGGTTTATACTCCAAAATGAAAGAATTAAGTGCTCTGTTGTTGAAAGATTTAATAAAACTTTAAAAATATTTCATATTGAAAAATGGATTGGTGTAGACCTACTAGATAAGTAAAAATTATAACAATTCTTACCACAAATCAATTTAAATGACATAGAAAGCGAGAAAGAATATAATGAATCAACAGTTTTAAATAAAAAAAATCTTATTTAAAACTAAATCGATTTCTAAAGTTAAATTTAAAATCGGCAACAAAGAATAAGTAAATGTAAGTCTACATTCAATAGAGGTTATCTTTCGACCTTTATTAATGAAATATTTATTATTTCATCTGTAATAGTGATCCGATAATATATAAAATAAAAGATTTACAAGGTTAGGAAATAAAGGAAGAATTTTACGAACAGGAGTCAGTTCTTGATACCTTCATTTAAACTATGAAATTCTTCTAATAATTCTCATATCTTAAATAACATATTTTTTTAAAAATTATCAATTGTTGGTGAAAGATTAAAATTTGTTTTTTGTGTTATTTTCAGATCACACTTGAAAAATTCTTTATAAACTGTATGTTAGTGTAGTGCTTTGTGGATTGAATTTTCTAAAAGATAATGAAATTCTGACTTAACAAAAAGTTAATCTAATCTCGTGCTATTTATATTTGATAATCGTCGAGAAAATTTGATGTATATTCAATTTTATAAATATTTTCTTTTTTATAATTTTTTTTGTTGTTATAACATAAACAGCACCAACTTTAGTTTTAAGTAATTTGATCTGTTTGAGGCTAAAGGGGAATATTTTGATTCATTAATGAAATTTTTTGTTTTTAGCTTTAGTGTGATTATAACGGTTTTATCTTCGTTTTCAACACGCATTTCAACTGCTCTTCAAATATTTTCTTATATCAAAACATTTGCAACATCTTTTGCTTTGAACTAAAGATTATCTATTTTATCGATGATGTAATATACTTTTTGCTTGTTAGAGATGACCTCCATTTATTAAGTAATAAACTTTTTATCTAAATAAACAGAGAGCAAAACTTGAACAAAGTGTAAGGAAGCAATTTGAAAATTTTTATTTAGACCGTGTTCATTTCGTAGTATTTTCAAGTATTGTCAAAAGAGAAATCTATATCTATACTAATATTATAAAGAGGTAATGTTTGTATGTAAGTTTGTTTGCAGCAGGTAATCTCCGAAACTACTCATTCGATTTCAAAAATTCTTTCACCAATATTTAGAATGGAACCTCAGGGTGGACATAGGCTGTATATTATCCCGTTAAACATTCACATAAATTAAATTATATCATCTAGGGATAAGGCTTTTATGTCCAACAGATGGCACTACGAGTACGATGCCCTAAGTTTGCTTTTCTGTGAGGCATTATGCTTTTCTGTGAAAATGAACTAAAACGGATCATCTTCTATCTATTTATATAAATAAAAATGTAATGTTCGTTTGTTCCTACCGATTCCTTTGAAATTTTGACACAACGCTGCATTCGAATACGCACGTGTTTTTATATAATATACATGTCGAAATCCCCCCCGGGAGATGGACGGGATTAAAGCTTACCGTGAAGAACATGGCTGCTATTATACTATTTTAGATGCGGATTTTTGCATTTCTGATTGCGTTTTAATAGGGTACGTCAAGAGAATGTACTGTACACTAAGAAGAAATTTTTCGAAAAATTCCCCCCACACGGGGAAGTGTTATAAATTTATAATAGATACATTTTGAGCAACAACGCGTGGCGGGGTCTGCTAGTATTAAATAAAGAGAAAGTCTGCATATGTGGTTCAAAAGCAGAGACGGTCTATATATAGACGGAAAAGATGACTCCTAGTACCTCGTGCCTTGCAGGAATCTCGCAAATTTGATACCATTAAATTATCAAATCGATAATTATTGAAAAAATAATTGTACCGGTATATGTTGCATCTGCAGAACGAGCATTTTAAAAGTTAAAATTAATTACCTCCGATCAATAATGTATCGAGAGAGATTTTCTTCACTTTCGTTTTTGTCCATCGAAAGAAATGTTGCTGCAGAACTGAACTTTTTATCTGTGATGAATTCGGCGTTGCTAAATACAGTTCCATACATGAAATTCTGTACACTTATTGAATTTCCCAATTTATAAATCTATTGTACTATATACTTTTTATTACATTATTGTGTGTTTACTATTTGTATTATTGTAGAAATAATAATCTTCCTTCTACTACCATCGCTCTTTTAATGAGACTGAAAAATGAGTTTTGTCCATGATCTCGCACATAATATGTTCGCTTCTGATAAAAGGTGTATTGTTTCTTATTATAAAAGACATTAAAGAAATTCTCTTCATAATGCTGACTTGAAAAAAGGGGATTAAAAAGGGGGATTTTGACTTACAAATTTCTATCTATATAAATGAAAAAAAGTGTATTTCGAAAAATCCCTTCTTAATGCGCGTTTTCATGATGCACCCTAACTGTGTACCAAATTTCACCTCTTTAGGTTTAGGGTTTGCTCTGGGCGATGATGAATCAGTCATTCAGTCAGTCAGGACAAGTAATTTTATAGAACTAGAATTGGGTTATTAGTACTATTCTATTCCATTATGCGATATCTTGTTGATGGCCGCTAAGACGACAGAAAATGTTTGATTTAATAAATACTTGGCTGGTTAAGGTTGAACTTCTTTTTCCTCGTAATACAAATATTGACGATACATAGTGGAATACAACTATGAAAAAGCCGATTAAATAGTGAATCGATGACGTTTCGAATTTTCAAAACGCCATCGAATCACTATTTAATAACTGTTTGGAACTTTACAATAAGTTATTTATCCATCACTATTTATAATTGGCAGTTGGTGTAAACATATTTCTCCAAAACTATCAAATTTCGAGTGATTGCCTGAAGTCTGGGACATGTCAATTTCGATTAAAATTAGTTTCTGTTATAGAATTGTGTATCCGAGTGATATAATTAATAGTATATATTTGACAAGGACTCGATTCCTGCACTGTTTATCTCAAACAATAAGTAGATTGCTGTTTTAGTTATGGTAGCGTTTGAAGGGTATTTCAAATTATTTAAATTTTCATTTTAGAAGCTTTTTATATCTTTTATTATTATTGACTTTTTTTTATACTTTTTCCCTTTTTATATTTCCAAGTTAGTCTCAACTGAAGTTTATATCAGACTCAAATCCTAGTGTATTTAAGTTTTAATTTCAATAATTATATCTGGTGAAAAGACGTGGATTCAATTTTTATACTAGTTTAATTCACAGAATATCCAGTATTGTATGGCAGTAACTTTCATACTTTGAGGACTTATTTTTTAGATTTTAATTTTACAAGTCCTCAAAGTACGGAAACGTTTTGATTACGAAAGCATTTTGATAGTTTTGGATAAATATGTAACATCAATTACCAATTATAAGAAATGAATAAAATAAAATATTCCCTTATTGCAGAGTTCCAAAGTGATTAGTGACTCAATGGCGTTTTGAAAATTCGAATTTTGGCCAGAATTTTCTTAGCTGTAATCTACTGTGCGACAATAAAATCGCGTAAGTTTCAATTGAATTTTAATTGACTTCTCAAATGTTTGCAAGTCGTCAATGATGTATATCTATAAGATAGTTTTCCTGCTTTCTGGACCACCTCCATTATATCATATAAGATCTATATATATGGCCCCTGTGAAGATGATGCCGGTGTTGTCCCGATTCTTAACCGATAGTCTTCTGTAACAATATTTTTTCAACTTTCGCTCTTCCATAGCATTTTCTTAAGCATCATTCGTGATAACAGGACTGGATTAATAAGGCAATGCAAAGGCGATCTGTCAAGAGTATACCTTCCAGGAGGACTTTTGTATGGAAAACATGTTCCCTATTTAGATATTAGATATGGAAGATCCTGAAAGCTTCACGCTGCCACTCGTTGGTCGGGCACGAACCCAAGATCAACTGCCAGTGTTCAGAGATTTTATCCAGTTGGCAACCGTAGCCCGATAATGGCGGAAAATAATTAGTGGTCATTCTTTATTGAATGTAATTGGATAGATTATCTCGTTCGCTCATTAATAAATAAATAAAAATATAGGAAAAAATGGTGATGTGCCTTCAGTTTTTTGATCAACAAACTGAAGACGCATCGCCACCACTTTTTCCTATATTTCTATTTATTTATTAATGAGCAAACGAGAAATCTGTCCAATTACATTGAATAGATCGTAAGAATTTTCGAAAAAGTACCAAAAAGCAACTCGATTCAGTTCTACTTGGTCGAATGACCAAGTAGAACTGAATCGAGTTGCGTCAAAGACTATAGTCGAGAAAAGACGGTGAAGATTAAAATAGGTTAGGCAACAATTGTTCTTTTCGACAAATTTCATTTTAAACTGTTTGGGCTATTGTCAAAGTGAAGGAATAGACAACAACTCGTTGCTTCCCTTCTCGTTCCGATCGAAAAGAGGCGAGTCGAAGACAGGTACCCAGCAGGTGAAAATAACTGAAAGACGAATCATGTCAAACTACAAAAATAGTATTTATTATAGAACATTTCACACAAACATTACAAAAACAGCTCCTTTTGGTGAAGAAGAGGAACGCCTCCCCATCATTTTTGTGGGAAAATCCGAAGATCACCTGGTGCAGATGCTGGACTGGAGGAAACGGCCTAGTGCGCGCAATCTACTGCCTGTCTTTTTTCCTTTAATTCCTCGATCGACTAAGTAATCGAGGTATGAGGACGAGTGAATGGCTGAGACAGTTAAAGTATCAGCCTATCGCTCTGAAGGACTCGGGATCAAATCCTGATAAGCAGCGACCCAAGAAATTTCCATCAACGGTTTGTCCCGGACATGTTGGACCCCGTCCTTCACCATCCGGTTACACCCAATGTGGGTGTGGCCAAACCATGATGCAAATGGAGAAAGACCGCCTTAATGTCCAGAAGATGGAGTTTTAAAAAGCCTAAATATAAAACCTTTCCAATTATAAATAAGAGAAAAATGTACTCTTTCATCGCTTCCAGTCATCCCTCTCCTCTTTCTATGCCTGGTTTCTATGCATGTTGCGCATAATTCGGTCAGCTCCAGAGCGTCTTGCTCAAGTATATTTTCCCTTTGTTACCATAAAAGTATCATCAGAAAGGCCCCTCTTCTATCCGCGAAATTTCCTCTCATAATCGAAGGCAAAACGTAGTAATCGCTGCCAAATTGGTCGGGACGATAACGCACATTTCCACTGTGAAGCATTTTTTTCATCAAGCGTTAAATTCTGCAGCGGTAAAAGAAACGTTGTCGGAGAAAGTCCTTCAGGACCAGTTCAGTTCGACTATTTTTCCTGTCTTGGCGGATTCTTCGCAAGCCGAGGCAATCTTGGAAACGGCCAGAGTTCTTTTGCCGCTGACTCTCAAGTCACAGATACCTGAAAGGAGGAGAAATAGAGTTAGTGTGAAAGAAAGGAGAAAAGTAACGGATGGAGAGGCTTACCTTGCATGACATCGGCCAGGTGCTCCATCTCGTTAAAGTAGGCTTCCTGGTATCGAGAGGCGAAGGAATAGAAGATGGGCACCGAAGTGGACCCGTTGGCCGAGTAGTTCGTTATCGGAGTAGGCCGCAAGTCTCCGGAATTAAACATTCCTTTAGGTCCAAACACCTGAAATATGTTTTCCGTTAGTCTGGATGGAATTCGAACCTGGATCCACCGTGGCAATAGCAGGGGTTCCACTTAAAACTATCTCGTTCCCAAATTTGGTGGTCCGATTTTAAAAATGTTTCCTTATTTTTCCGCTTCTGCCGATTAAGGTGGTACCTTAACAACTGAGGGTGGAAAAGGGGATGATGTCTTTCTGCGCACCGGAAAGTGGATTTTTTTCTTTTTTGCAGTATAAAAAAGACCCAGTCCATCCAAAAAATGGATTATTATTTACGGTACAGTGGTCGAGTCAATTTTATCTTCAATATTTTAACCTTATTCACATGGATTCCCAAGTATTTAACCACTATGTAGAAATGGCCCAACCTAGATAACCATAAATAGCCAAAAACCCGATTCTTTCCGCTATTTGGCATCCGTAGTGGGATCAATGTTTTCGCGCAGAATATTGTTTTGCGTGTCACTAAAAGTTCGTTATGGGTAGTAGAGACTTACCTCTATTCTCTGGTCGTATCCGTAACACGAAAATCTACTGAGGTCGATGCAAGCAATGGCACCGCTCTCAAACTTCATCATGATTCCGACTGTATCGTAATCGCCCATCTCTTTGATTTCGGGAATAAAGGCGTGTGCCTGAACAATGACCGAGGTGGGAAACTCTTCCAGTATCCAGCAGATGACGTCAATGTCGTGCACCGCGCAATCATGAAAAATCCCTCCTGGAAAGAGAAAAACGTTTCTGTCAGCCTCGGGTTTCCTTAAGGAGCCATGGAAAAGCAAGAATCTTGAGTTGATCTTACCGGAAGTCTTCAGATAACTTACGGACGGTAGAGGAGAGTCTCTGCTGCACGTTTTGATCACTTGTATCTGACCCAGCTCCTTCTTGGCATGTTCTTTGATATATTTAAATCCCGAATCGAATTCCCTGCCATTCGAAAGAAATTCACTTATTATTCCCTTTTTTCCGCCCTTATGTTTTAATTAAGAAGTAATCGACAATCGATTTTAATTCCCTAACTCTTCTCGCTGCTGTCGGCTTATTTTTCTAGGAAATAGCATGTGCTTGCCTGTAAATTTATAATGAATAATTGGATCTGTATCGAACCAAGTGGACGTTATCATCCGATTACGCCTCCAAAATCTTTCAGTTCTCAAATTGAAAATAATTAATAAAAATTGTTAATATAAAAGGGTATTCGAATAAATGTCTGAAATTGGCTTAAACTCGAATTATGCACGATAAAATGTAACGAACGAGGAATCGAGTGTTTACTCTTAAAAACATTTTTTGGAAATAAGAGCAGTGTTCAATGTTCTTTTATAACGTTCAGCGCTATTGCTCAACTTTCGAACGCATTTAGGAATGCATTAATCCGAAAGTCAGTGATTGCCTGAATTGCGTCATACTACAGACAGGAACGTCAAGAGAACGTCAAATATTAAGCTCGAAATAGAGCCAGCACCTTCCTTCATGAATGAATAAAATGCATTTTATTTGTGCATTCATTTTATGCACAAATGAAATACGCCAAATGTTTTTTAAGAAGTCTTGAAGATTTTATTATCTGTTAGTGAAAATAACATTAATTTTCTAGGATTAGGACGAGTAAAATCTTCATTATGTCCGACCCTACTGGAGATATGACACACGATCCCCTTTATCTCCCCATCCCGTCGACCTTTAACCACCAAAATTTAATAGCCCCTTATAAACAAGCTACCACACCAAATTCCGTTTCTTAATCTCTACCCATCCTGAGATATTAAACGAACAAATATCACGTACGGAATTTTTTTCCTCTGCTTTTTGACGTTTTTGGGTTTAAGAGATCTCAAAACAGGAAAATTTGCAAAACACCAGGAGGGTCAAAGTTGACACGATTCCAATACTTTCTCTTGTTATGTGTACATAACAGTTGAGAAAGTAACAACAGAATTAATTTCAGGAAGTAACTAACTTAAAGGAAAACTATAAGTTATTTTCTTCCTGTGAATGATCAGTTGGTTAATTTTAACAAGTCGTCGCTGCTTTAGATGGACATTGCAAAGAGTATTAAGGAAGAGTACTTACCTATTGAAGGCGCAGAACAGAGGTTTCTTGATTTTTTCTGCCAATTCGTAGCAGCGTTTGATGCCCTCGTAGGTAGGGGCAATAGGCTTCTCGCAGAAAACCGCTTTTCCTGGAATAGAAAGTAATTTAATTCTGGTTAAACATTTCCCTTCGTAAAAGCAATGGAAACAGAAGAAAAGTTGCACAAAATTATTCTTTTTCATCAAAGTAGGTAGGATTTTAGTGCCAGAAGACGATCTTTCCAATCGTTTTCCAGATAAGAATTCAACAGATTACAAAAAAGATCATTCAAATATGATGTCACCAATTTAAATTTCTTTTTCACTATCTACTACCTCTAGACTGCCACATCTTCTCGCCAATTTTTAGACTTATGTCGCCCTTGATCTGTCACCCAATATTAAAATCAAACATTTCTGTAAAACAGTACATTAATATATTCTTATTTCTTGCCGAAGAGAAGCTAATTATAAAAACAGACCAATAAAAAACCGAAAATCCACTGATTTACCACAGGAGAATTTGATGACATTGTATTAAGTAACTCCTAGATTGAAGATAATACGTTATTAACCAGTATAACTTTCAGCAGCATCTTCATGATCTGTATCTTTAAAGGTTAAATTCTTATCATTATATTTTCATATTAAAAGTTATACTAGAGCGCTTCCAACAAAGCATATTTTAGTACAACATGTACTAAAAAACATAAGTACTATATCTCTACTAAATACAGTATCTAGTAAAAGTGAAACTATTTAAATTAGCAAGAACTTGCTGTATAATCATTGATCAAAATACTTCTGCATAATGATTTTGGTAAAAAATTATTTCAAATAGGAAAATTTCTGATAATCTTCTGAACATTGTTATTCTATTAACATTCCCCTAGGTCCTGTCATAATCTATCACACAATTTTTTCAAAAGTGCGAAACTAAGGAAAAAAGTAGGAATAACAATAAACTTAAGAGATCGAATTTCGTAATATTCCCAACAACGTACAAATTTATTTTTTGACTTTTTTAGAAGAAAGCAGGAAAAGGTCGGAATTAGACGGAAATTAAGTGGGTTTGAAGCGCCGTTCGAACCGGGATTCCTGGCCACAAAGAACTATTCTCCATTTTCCACATCATATATACTAATTACATAAATAAGGCAAAATCTTCCACGGAATTTCCACTTTTAGAGTAGGAAACGGATTCGAACACGTCATTCTAAATACCGGAACTTTATTATCTCAATTGAAGTAATCCCGTTCGAAGACGGAAAGACAAATGACCGTTTTCAAGAAATTTTATAATGTTAAAAAGGAGAACTGGAATCCCGCCGAAGGAAGAATTTGAGATGATCTTCAATCGGTAAAACCGGTATGAGTCGCCCTCAGATAACTTATCTACGAATTTTGCCCGCCTTTAGTTTGTTCCCTTTTCACTTAACGGAATATTAGACTGACGACGAAAGACGAGAGAAAAATTGCGCTTGAATTCCCATGCTGGTGAAACGTAAAAATGTTCCATTTTATCTTCTTCAAAGTCTTGTTCTATCTGTACGGTGGCTCATTTTCTTGGTTATTCTAGCATGTCGCCCTCACAGAATTTCGTTGAATATTCTCGATTGGAAACGAGACGAGACAGTAGTCTTGGAATCGACGTAAGTTAAGTGAAACTTTGAAGGGAATCGCCGAGAGACGTCTGTCTTATCTGGTTCACCAGTAGCCAAACCATCGAACATTGGTAGTTGGTACCTGACCTTCCTTTTTTTAAGGTGTTACCTAAGTAAAGTAAATTTACCTTATAAAATCCCCTGGAAAGCATTCTCATTGCTTTTGTGTTGGATTGCCTTGTCCCATCAGATCATACTAAACCAATCTGTCTTATCACGAAGAGTGACAAGACACCGTTCGGAAATCCGACTAACGATAACGATATTTATTAACATTATCCAAGGAAAAATTGGCTTACCCGCGTTCAATGATCGCAACACCAGTTCCTCGTGCGTCTGAGTGGGAGTGCACACAACCACGCAGTCAACGCTATCAAAAAAGCAAGATTAAGGAAGGAAATTTTTCCGAGTCGAGCGAATTTTGCGGAAACCTTACTTGGGATCTTGGAAAATCTTGTCGACATTTTCCATGCAGGTCACCATAGACTCTGGACAGAGGTTCCACCTGTGCTGGACGAAGTTGCAGCGCTCTTCGCACGGATCCATACAGTACAATAGCTTCATACGTGGATTCTTTACCACGTTCTCTAGATGGATGACTCCGATCCGTCCCAGCCCGAAGATGGCCATTCCGACCCGCTTGTTGTTATAGTACTTGATATCGTTTTTCAGATAGACCGGAGACTTAATGCCTAGGTCGTCGCAGTGAAACTTGGAATCCTTCCTAATCTTCCATCCCTTCAGCTCTTGGTTGTACCTGAGAAAGATTGACTCGCATGTCAGACTCCGAGGGGTGCTTTCGCGTAGGAAGAGAAAAGGAAACTTACCTGAGATATTTTTGGTCGGTTGCAGATACCGCTTCGGCCATCTTGTTATCCCAGTAGAAAGGGTTGAGATCTTTAGGTGTTTCGTCTGCAAAGAAACAGGAGCTGTAGCAACAATCTTTGAGGGGGCAGAAAATGGAAATGCTACGCGTCCAAAAGAAAGGAGGCTACTTACGAAGTTTCGTTTCCATTTCGCCGGTTCTTGTAGCGAGCCAGAGAGTTTCCCGATGATGATCATCTCTCGCCTTTAAATAAATCCGGAGGATGATAAGATCTGCTGGGCGACGCACTTCCCCTTTCGATAAACGTCCAACATTTTACGTCATAAATGTTGCTCGAGCGTCACAAATGGCCGGCCGGCCGGTCTATTTCCTGGACCAACCATCTTTCGGTGGGAGAACGAAGAAACGAATATGGAAGGGTAAACGGTCAGTCGAAAGAAGAAATACGCGTTATGTTAATAAACAATCCTGTTGGTGAGGTTTTGGGTCGGATCCATTTTCAATTATTTATGACGGTCCTGCAGCAGATCAGATCGACTCTGATGAATGGGATAAGAGCGGTTGTCATCTAGAGTAAAAAAAAGAGAAGGGAAGAGAAATTTTGTTTGTTAATACTTGTCGGGGGAACAATTTGTAGGAAATTGATCTATCTTCATTTCTGAGTTTAACGAAAATTACAATTGGTCAAATTGGCCCTTCTTTCGAAATGCGAGGTCCGAACCCTTTCTATCGAATTTTACCTATGACCCGTAAACAAACGCCGCTGACTCGTTACCGACGGAATGTCAAAATCCGTTTTTTTGGAACTTGGGTCACTACTTGTATTTCTCTATGGAAACGATTTTCGTTAGGATTCACTAGGTTCAAGGACCGACCGGACAAGAACTTTTTATACAACCAGGATAAGCAAAAGCACCGTGTGCTCCCGCCGATTGGTCAAAACTTGTTACCACCGAAGCATGTAACTTACGTTATCAATCCGATTCCTATCGTATTTTAAGACTCGTGTCGTTGTTCGTGAGAAATGAGACGTTTATCATTAGCGCGCATATTCTTATGATATGTTATCATAAAGACAGTATGAATTGATATGTGCTTAATTTTGTATATATGATTGAGTAAGAAGTTATTAGCCTACATTGTTTAGATAAGCTTTCTTTACTTTATTCTGGTTCTAGAGATGCTTTGTGTAGCTACTAAATGCAAATATTAAGAGTTTTTCTCTAGAAAGTGAAATAAAAATTCGCATAAATAACGATGTTAATATTCATAAGATTTAATATATTTTTTATAATGTAACAAGAGTTTTTATTATAATTTATAAAGACATTCGTTGAAAATTACGGATCCAAACACCATAATAAAATATGCTTAGCACATAGTATATTCAGTACATAAAATAGTATCTAGGCTAAGGTCGAACTCGCTATTTCCTTTTCTTCGTTGGCAGTTTATCATTCAAAAGCTGGCATCGTAGTACGCAACATCGTCCGTAATTTTGATTTTTCAGATTATGAGGTTTCGGGAGAAGGGAGTCCACTTTTTTCCTGTTTTTTCTTCAATATCGATTACTTGTGGAAAGAAGCGTTTGACGTAACGATCTACGTCATCCGCAAGAATCGAACAAACATCTCGATAAAGTATTTCTTCACTCTTACTATTTCACAGCATATAGGTTTTCAGTGGAGGCTGGTGGCATCTAATATGGGAATGCCGTCACAAGAGGGCAGGTGGAACTCAATCCCAATAGTTTTGATTTCGTATGTTTTGATCGGCGATGGTTTTAATTTTAAGTTAAACGTAATGTTTTTCTCAAAACCGGCGCCGTTCGAACCATTATACGAAATCAAAATGATTCTGTGTGATGCGAGCCGCGCACTCTCCCGCTACAACACCCACATATTAGATGCCACGAGCTACCACAATAGTTTTTAGATTAATTGCGATCATAGTCTTCGTCCCGACGGCCGAGCGGTAAAGGTGGCAGCCTATCGCTCCGGGGGACCCGGGTTCGAATCCGGACGGGTCGATAAATCCCCAGGAACTTTTTGGGAGGTGGTCCGTCCGGATATGTCGGGCCCTGTCCAACCGGCCGCCCCATTGTGGGATGGCTGAATCCATAATGGACTTGCTAAAGAGGCTTTTTTAGTGCCCAAAGGGCGGAGGGAGAAATAGCCTCCGTCCCTCTTTACACAGTATATTATTATTTCGACCGGCGCCAATCCGGTTCGAATTCCACAGAATTTAATTATTTCAACAAATCTAGAGTAAATAAATAATAATTGAAAACCGTTTTTGAGTCTGTACTGTACATGTTTTAATAGTGGGGAGGCGGAATTACAACAGAAATATGTACAAGTCACTGGTCTAAATGTGCGTACACTCGTCTCAGTTTCTCCTTTTTGTTTCTATTATAATGTTTCTTCCAAGGCTTCCCTTCCGGCACAGATGAACTTCCGGTCGAGCCAGGTTGCCTTCCTGCGTCCTTGGTATGGACCGACGATAAGGCCTGAAAACATACGCTCACTTTTAGAATGTCAATCGATGGCCGGAAAGCGACTGAGGAACGTTCTGTACTGTACCTTTCCGAAGAAGTTCCGGTCTAACTCTCGGACGAACTCTTTCTCTTCCTGAAACAGTTAAATCATTATTTATTTTTACATGTGACGTTTAAAGGTATGCAAGATACTTACTGGTTGGGGATGCGCAATCCGAGAACCGGCATCGGGAAAGGGGTGGAAGGTCTTCTGATCGACTCCGGGAGGAGCCCGACAATACAGCAGTCTTCCGTCGGCGAAGTCTTTCAGAACTCGCCGGGCCGCCCGAGAAACGTCGGGAAGTCCACCGCCAGTCAATAGTCCTCTGGTCTCTGTTCTTTCCCATATTAAAATAGAAACAGGAATAAATAAATAAAATGGTAATCGTCGCTTCCAAGCGCGTAAAAAACAAAGGAAGCTCTTCGAACGGTTAGGCGAAAAAGCCAAGTTGTGGGTTCGATCGATCGTCACTTCTCTTTTTTTTTTACCGAGGAAGGTCTCTTGGGAAATTCTACGATGGCCTCGATGGTAAGAAGCGCACCAATTGGGTGAAAAAAGGTGTCCACATTTTTTAACCGTTCTTAGGATAAAGTTAACACTCCGCGGAGAATTATCTCGAAAGACATGAGACAGAAAATAGAGATACTATCGACAAGTCTATGGAATTATACCACGCGACATACTCGAATACTTCCAGGAATGATGTCCGAATTGAAAAGACCGATTCCCACTACCCAATTCTTATTCGGATGGATGAAAGATAAACGATACTTACGGCCGTAGGCTTCCAGGAACTCTCGAGCGGTGAGGGATGGATGAGAATCTGAACCTTCACCAGACGTGGGAAGGAACAGGTTATAGGTAGCTCGTAGCACGTGCTCGGGAACGACGTCCGTTATCTGAATTTGTCGGTCAAGATTTAAATTAGCGAAATATTGAAAGATTAATGATGGGCATTCCGTTAAAAGGATACGAGAGAGACGGCGGAAAGAGGGTCCGTGGCATTATCGACCGATAGGATACCGTTCAGAATCATTTCGGCTCTGCTGGAAACGAAGTTGGGAAATACTAGTCCGGGACAATCGCACAGACACAACTCGGAATCAATCATCAGCGTCTGAAATGATACGAAAAGTTCTCCTTGTAATAAATAAATCGGAAGAATTTCTCTATTCCTCTACGTTTTCTTCTGTATTTACAATATCTTTTATTTTATTTTTTTTCTGCGCGCACGTAGACTATGCCGCTAACTCAATAGACTATGCCGGTGGGTACTGAATTTATCCCCGAAATAATTATCATAGACTTCCCATGGAAATGCTAGCCAACTGCCAAGTGCGAATAAAACGTTTTGTGGCCCGGCTTGGAATAGTACTTGTCGACACCAGGATCCAACGGACAAAACTTGAAATTTGGATCACCCTGGTTTGTTCTTATATTCGTCCATTCTTACCGATTTAAATTTCTTGAGTAATATTGTTCCGAATGAACATTACCGATTGGAATTCGCACCAATAGTATTTTTGGTAAAATGTGTTTATGTAACACCTATCACGTGAAAATTTGCATCTCTCGGATTACTTTTTGGTCAGGAATATCGAAGACATTTTATCGTAAAGCCTCCAACCCTTTCAATATCCCATCAACCAGATAGCGGCATTCGGTACTGTAGGGAAACTAGCCAATTTTTCATATTAAGAATGCAAATGGTTTACTTTTAATCCTTTTTCTCTTAATTTAACTGAAAGAGCGAAGAATTTGGTCGTGGTATTATGAATGTCAAAACTATTAAGAATCCTAGAAATTTTATCGGGGAGAAAAAGTCAATTTTTGCTCATCGGTGTTTCCCTTGAAGCCGGATCAATCGACCAACTCCACCAATAAAGTCTGTAAAGCGACGTCGTGTTTCATTCGAGAGAAAAATACTGTAATTAGAATTAGAAGAATTTATCATATGGAATAAAACTTTTCTGGGCCCATTCTTTCGTCTAGATCAACGACTAATTTTGGTTCAAGTAACTTCAATCCTCCTCCCGCAACAATCTAATCTGCGGTACGATAGCATTCAAATAGGAAAATTACTTAATACGGACAACACAAAATGTTTTTAGGGGTTTTATTGGGTAACGAATTTAAATAATTTTTAACCAAATTTTTTTCCTTATAATTTTCTTTTTTACGAAAATTCCTCCACTCCGCAACTTAAGTATTTTTCTGATGAATTTTGCTACTTTAAAGCTTGATTTCAATATTACCAGAAAATATTTTAAAAAACAAATCAGAAAAAAAAAACGTGATGGAAGTTCCTATATAGCAATTTTGGATTGAACGGATTCAGGATAACAGTGTTGAAAATATAGTGGTGCCTCGTATTTCGAATTTAATTCATTCAGGAGGCCGTTCGAATCGTTCGAAGTCCGAGACAATTTTTCACATTAGAAACGATGAAAAGCAAATGAATCCATTCCCAGGCCCTAAACAATACCCATTAACTTAAAACGGCAAACACACATAATTTAAGATAAAAATAACAAAATAAAATAGCTAAATAATAAATTAAAACAATAAATAGATTACGTAAATACTGTGTAATAAAATGAAAATTGCATTTACTGATCGCATATCATCGACTTTGACATCTTAAGCATGGCTGCCAGATCCGCCACATGTGCACCGCTTTCATGCTTCTCGATAAGTTCCTTTTTATCTGAATCGTCCATATTACGGCCTTCTTCTAACTTGTTAGATTTCGTTGTTCCCACACATTTTTCGGATGCCATAATTAATAAGCAAAAGCGATATTGGGTTGAACAGAAAGATTTTGCAGATTTTTATCAGATGTCGTTACTTAACTTTAATGTATAATTTAAATATAACAGCTGTGAAATTTAACACATTATTGCTAACTTGAAATTGTATTCTTTGTTCAGAAGCTTATTTTACGCTTTGAATGAGTTTTTCAATGCAGACGCAGTTCGAACTCCGAAGCGTATTTTTGTCAAATTTTAGCGTTCGTACTTCGTAATAAGGCCGTAATATGGTCGATTCAGATAAATTGTAGCGTAAGGAAAAGTACCTCGTACTATGAAGCGTTCTAAGTACGAGGTACTTTTACGTTCCGTTATATAATGCCAACATTCAGTTTTTATACTAAACCAATCGAAGAATAATATTTTAGTGACGTAATCTTTCTAATTACTGGCAACACAATTCAATAACTTAGTTTTCAAATTAAATGGCGGATGGTGAAGGACTGCTTTGTAATTTTGCCTTGATACAGATTTTGAATAAACACTTACGATTGGTAAGTGTTTATTCAAAATCTGTATCAAGGCAAAATTACAAAGCAGTCCTTCACCTTCCGCCATTTAATCGGTAATATTGAGAAATCGGCGTATGACGTCATTTATCAATAATTTGGAATGCATAAACATTTTACCGATCACGTGACATTACGTGGTAAGGCGTCGGTAATTTTTTTCGGATACTACGAGGTGGCAGTAGTAATTACAGACAATATATGGCGAAATGCGCTGGGCAGAGTAAAAATTATCGGATCATCTACCATGCATTCTTAAACTTTAGAAATATCTTCGCTTATTCTAACAGATACGAAACTTTCCGGGAATTAAAATGTTTAAAGATTGTAATAAAATTAAAACAGTAATATAAAATACTATTACAATTACAAAATCCCTCATCACTAAGCATAGTTCAAGATCAAATGCTTAGCTAGAGAAACTGTAATTAACTAAAAGATATCTTAATTATGAAAGAAAATGAGAGAGAGAGAGAAAAGACAATATATTAAAGTCAATTTTTATAATTAAACTAATTTTGTGTAATAATTACTGTATATACAGTGTGTGTGTGTAGTAAAATATTATGATTTTAGTTGTTATGAGACAAATTTAAGTGATTTGAATCAGGAAATGTATTCTCAATTCTAATATTAAAATAGGTTTTATTTCTGCAATCCATTAATACTTTTACTTCCATATTCAGAAATTTTTGTCATGTGACTCTCTCTGTATACTGAATTTACTATAAATATTGATACACAGTAATGATGTTATCTCAAAAACCTTCTTATTGGTTTAAATATTAGAATAGAGGAGTACCATAGTTTTAATGGGATAGCATTTGCTAATGGCACCGAACTTACCAGCTCAACTTTGTACTTTTATGCATACAAAGTAACTTCTTTGTCACTTATGCCTGCAAATAGTGATATCAAAGAAACTTGGTGATTGAGCTATTTGTTAAGTTTTATGTATGAGGTCCATAAGAAACAAATTTCATATTAACAAGATATGTAGCATTACCAAAGTAGCATCCATTTTTGCATGTTATTTCTGTTATTGGTGGTGAGAGTTCACTAATAAAATCTGTACAGAGTGACCATCTTCAGCTATTGGTAGAAAATCTGAGCTATTTGAAATTTGAATTGACTCCTAATTTTTAAGGTTTGCTGCTGGATAATTTTTGGGTTACAATTTTATAGAATACTTTATAGTGTATTATAGAGAATATGAAATTATGTGTACAGCTAAAACAAAGCGACTATGCATTGGCAGCATAGTCACTTTGTTTTGTTTCAACAATATGTGCCTTGATTTTGCCCATACAGCTATAATGAAGATTTTATGGGATGACCCATATAACTTTGAATAGCTGTATCAGCATGTCTTAAGTCAAAGTATACTTGCATATATATATATTGTGTGTGTTATGTTTGAATGTCTGTGAGAGGGCCACCAGTGGCCAAGCGGTCTTCGTACCCTGAACACTGGGAGTTCGGTCATGGGTTCTCGCCTCGCTCAGACAGGCTAGGCATGTGGAGTTTTCCAGGTTTTCTCCATGTCTGTAACACCTAAATAGGGGCCAGTTTCCCTTAAAAAGATCTCACAGAAGGCATCCCCCTAGACAGATCGCCCAAGTGTTGCATTTCCATAACAAACTTAAATATTTGAATGCCTGTCAGTTAAGATTCTAAACTATCTTGTTACTATTTATTAGGGACAGGTCAGACACTAGAAAGTGTCACTGAACATCTATTATCTCAGATTCCAACCTCTTCAGTTTCCAGCAAAATGTAAAAATGTTTGTGAATTGCTACATTTTATGTTTTGCTGGAAGATGAAGAGGTTTAGTAGTTACAGTAGATGTTTCCAATGCTACTTGAACAGATTTTATTATCTCAAAGTAATCTCCATAACTGTTAATGCATTTATTTTGTTGGAAGACAAGACAGTTAATTAATCCCATTCTTGTAGATGCATTTAGGCCACTGACAGATTCACTATCCCAGTAGGACATGTCCCCATCTGTTTGAAACCAATGTGCATGAATGTCTTTCTTCAGGTTGCCAAAAATGTGAAAATTACTTGGGAAAAGATTTGGACTGTAAGGAGAATGTTGAAGTGTTTCCCTCACCACTTGGGAAGTGTGGAGCAGACACCATCATGCAGAAAGATAATGCTGTTTGACAGCAATCCAAGGCATTTTGACTTTATGGCACATGTCAGTTTCTGCAAAGTGTCTTCATAGCACTTTACATTTATTGTGGCCCCATGTTTGAGAAAATTGATAAGCAGTAGGCCCTTGCAGTCAAAGAACAATGTAACCATGACTTTTTCAGAACATGTATAAGGACTTTGGACTTGTGGAATTTGTTCACTTTGCTCTCAAGCTAAAAATGATGGCACCATGTTTTGTCCCTAGTGACAATATGAGACAGAAACACATACCATTTTAGGTAACCCAGAGATACAGCCATTCTCTCTGTTTCTCCATCAGTTGATGTGGAACTCACTGTGTGCAAACTTTTCAGTAATGAAGTTGGTCTTTAATAATGACTTATACAAAACCATGGTTTATCCCCACCAAAACATGAAATTCTTCTGCTATAATCCATTGGCTTTCTCAGATAAGACCATCCACCTGCACAATAACATCAAGAGTAATGACATAATATGCCTGTCCTGGACACGAACAGGCATATTATGTCATTACTCTTGATGTTAGTGACACAGATCCATCTCAGAATCTCTTATGCCACTCCAGTAAATGTTAACATGACATAGTGTTTACCATACATGTGATGATGAATTTCTCATCTTCCAACACCTTCCATTGTCAAAAAATCAAACCACACCTCTGTTCTTTACTCATTTTATTTCTGATGTTAGATGAATATATGTATCATTAACCCTACTTCAAGTGCAATAAACAAATGTGTGCATGTGAAGGTTGTCATCTATGTTGCTCTCCTTTCCCACAGATGGCAAAATCATTTGTAAACAACATTATTGTCAACTTTTGTGTGCCTTAAGTTCTATGCATGATGATCTGTTTCCATTTGACTGTCCTTTATATACCAAATGTTAAACAATTCAAGGAGAATTAGGAATTACAGTAGAGCGTCGATTATCCGAGTCAATTGGGGACTGGGGTTGTTCGGAAAATCAATATTTTGGATAACCGATTATGTACGAAAAAATATATTAACCTATCCCATGTTGAAATTTTTCTCCGTTGCGTGTCGCTTCACGTTGAATTTTCTTCAATGTTAAACCTAACGAAGACTATTGTATCGTTAAAAATTATTTTTTTATTTTGTACAAACAAAATAAATATATTGAAAAATATAAAAACAATAAAAAATTATACTTCAGAAGTTAATTTAGTATCAAAAACATAAAATATTTGAGTAGCCCAACACATAGCCAAAGATTGCAGCGCCACAGCACTGGCAAAAATTTAAATTTGCCAACTGGAATTCTTTCAGATAATCGACACTCTACTGTATCATTGGAACAGTTAAGTTATATAATGATATTGATAATGAAGTATTTTAAGAAAATTATAGCAAGCTTCTTAAAGTTATTTTTTGCATTTTTATAAGAAAACTGCTTTACTCAAAATAGCAAGTGCCTGCTGTACTTTGTTACCTTTCTAATATAAGCCAGATTCATATATTTAAATTGCAAAAATACTAAAACATATAAATGAATGCTTCAAAACATAAATGGTAAACAGCAGAATTCAGTTAAATAGTTCCTGCATTAGAAGTTTTCCTGTGTAAGTTGTTTCAAAATTTCTCACTTTTTGTACAAAAGTCTGTGAGAGACAGATAAATTTTTCCTGTATAAAATGTTTTTGTTTAAGAAAACTTCTCACTAAAGTAAACTGAAAACATTGTCCACAACTACAAAATAGATTTGCTTAAATTTTGCAATTGCATCTTATCAAAATTGCATATGGAAAACAATTATACAAAATTGTGTGCCATTAAACAAGCAACTTTGGGCTATTTTGAACAAGAAATTTACAATTTTTTACTTGAATATCTTTCAACAAGCTTGCAACAAACAACAAATTCTGGCAAGTGCTATCAGTATATGGATGATACTGTTAAGATTTAAGTAAGTTTTAGTACTTTATTTGTAAATCTGTGGTTTTGTTTATAAAAATCATAAAGAGTATTTTTCTCTCACATAATAAAACAATGAAGCAGATTATATTAGAAAAATATCTAAATAAATAAATACTGTATAAGCCTAATTGTCTGTTAAATAAATATGGAGTATTGAAAGAAAAACTATATTATTTTCATTTATGCTGAAGAAGTTTTTTAAACTTCGTACCTTGAAAAACTTGCAAATGCAGAATTAACATTACCTGAAAATGCTTTGTTTTCCCTGGGGTGGCAGACACCGACACTTTTTTACATTGAAGAAGAGCATTTATGGTACTACTTTTGCCTACATTGGGATATCCCACCTTGAAATATAAAAAAATCAAACAATTTACAAAAACAAATCACAGTATTTACAAACTGTGCAGTTATGATCACAAAAATTAAATTATACTTACCAATCCAATGGTTCTGAATGAACCTTTTACTTTAGATTCTAAGTGCAAATTTTTAAATAATTCCAATAATTCATTTCTTGTTAATAAATTTGGAGATGTTTTAAAGTTATTTTTTGTTTGAGGTAATTTTCCTGCCTCCAATAATCTATCCTGCGCCTCCAGATTTATTTTTTCTAGTGATGATGATATAATTTCTGTATTCTAATAAAAACAAAAATTAAAATAATAGAATTTATTACATTAGTTTAAAATAAAACACATACCTCAGGATTGTTCTGTTGTAATGCTGAAAAAAAAATTGCATTTCTTCCAATATTGTTAAAATGATCTGCCCACATTTCTCTATTAACAAACAAAATATTAAATAAAGATGTCATCAGTTAAAATTTTAATTCCAAAAAACTTCAAGTTACCTTTGTAAAGGAGTGAGATAATCAGACTTGTTTAATAAGATGACTGTAATTTTTTCCTTACTTATTTCTTTAACCAAAGTTTCTAGATCTTCACACCAAAATAAATAAGGATTTCTAGCATCTACTATTTGAACTACAATGTCACTAGAAAATATCAATTTAAATCAAATGTTTATTATTGGAATCAGTTACAAAAACAAAATGTATGTAAAAACTAAAAATTTATGAACATTTAAATAACTATAATGAAATTTTCCTCCTAAGTATTTTATCCCACATTACAAACACTAATAATGAAAAGTAAAATACACAATGCTATAATTTAATTATAAAATATTAAGAAAAGTCTAAAATAAAGCATTTATTTTTATTTTTCCAATTAAACTAATATTTAATTATATAATCTAATGCATACATATGGGTGCAACATCTAGATGGTATTACATTACCAAGATAGCAGCATTGCTTTATACCCCAAAAATTCCATTCACATTCAATTGTGCATTTAATAAATTATATGTTCAACTAAAAGTTACTACAAGTTTTATATTTTCACTTGGCCAGTCTAAGAGAATGGTTCTAAAAATGAATNGGAAGGTCTCTTGGGAAATTCTACGATGGCCTCGATGGTAAGAAGCGCACCAATTGGGTGAAAAAAGGTGTCCACATTTTTTAACCGTTCTTAGGATAAAGTTAACACTCCGCGGAGAATTATCTCGAAAGACATGAGACAGAAAATAGAGATACTATCGACAAGTCTATGGAATTATACCACGCGACATACTCGAATACTTCCAGGAATGATGTCCGAATTGAAAAGACCGATTCCCACTACCCAATTCTTATTCGGATGGATGAAAGATAAACGATACTTACGGCCGTAGGCTTCCAGGAACTCTCGAGCGGTGAGGGATGGATGAGAATCTGAACCTTCACCAGACGTGGGAAGGAACAGGTTATAGGTAGCTCGTAGCACGTGCTCGGGAACGACGTCCGTTATCTGAATTTGTCGGTCAAGATTTAAATTAGCGAAATATTGAAAGATTAATGATGGGCATTCCGTTAAAAGGATACGAGAGAGACGGCGGAAAGAGGGTCCGTGGCATTATCGACCGATAGGATACCGTTCAGAATCATTTCGGCTCTGCTGGAAACGAAGTTGGGAAATACTAGTCCGGGACAATCGCACAGACACAACTCGGAGTCAATCATCAGCGTCTGAAATGATACGAAAAGTTCTCCTTGTAATAAATAAATCGGAAGAATTTCTCTATTCCTCTACGTTTTCTTCTGTATTTATAATATCTTTTATTTTATTTTTTTTCTGCGCGCACGTAGACTATGCCGCTAACTCAATAGACTATGCCGGTGGGTACTGAATTTCTCCCCGAAATAATTATCATAGACTTCCCATGGAAATGCTAGCCAACTGCCAAGTGCGAATAAAACGTTTTGTGGCCCGGCTTGGAATAGTACTTGTCGACACCAGGATCCAACGGACAAAACTTGAAATTTGGATCACCCTGGTTTGTTCTTATATTCGTCCATTCTTACCGATTTAAATTTCTTGAGTAATATTGTTCCGAATGAACATTACCGATTGGAATTCGCACCCAATAGTATTTTTGGTAAAATGTGTTTATGTAACACCTATCACGTGAAAATTTGCATCTCTCGGATTACTTTTTGGTCAGGAATATCGAAGACATTTTATCGTAAAGCCTCCAACCCTTTCAATATCCCATCAACCAGATAGCGGCATTCGGTACTGTAGGGAAACTAGCCAATTTTTCATATTAAGAATGCAAATGGTTTACTTTTAATCCTTTTTCTCTTAATTTAACTGAAAGAGCGAAGAATTTGGTCGTGGTATTATGAATGTCAAAACTATTAAGAATCCTAGAAATTTTATCGGGGAGAAAAAGTCAATTTTTGCTCATCGGTGTTTCCCTTGAAGCCGGATCAATCGACCAACTCCACCAATAAAGTCTGTAAAGCGACGTCGTGTTTCATTCGAGAGAAAAATACTGTAATTAGAATTAGAAGAATTTATCATATGGAATAAAACTTTTCTGGGCCCATTCTTTCGTCTAGATCAACGACTAATTTTGGTTCAAGTAACTTCAATCCTCCTCCCGCAACAATCTAATCTGCGGTACGATAGCATTCAAATAGGAAAATTACTTAATACGGACAACACAAAATGTTTTTAGGGGTTTTATTGGGTAACGAATTTAAATAATTTTTAACCTAATTTTTTTCCTTATAATTTTCTTTTTTACGAAAATTCCTCCACTCCGCAACTTAAGTATTCTACCACAATAGTTTTTAGATTAATTGCGATCATAGTCTTCGTCCCGACGGCCGAGCGGTAAAGGTGGCAGCCTATCGCTCCGGGGGACCCGGGTTCGAATCCGGACGGGTCGATAAATCCCCAGGAACTTTTTGGGAGGTGGTCCGTCCGGATATGTCGGGCCCTGTCCAACCGGCCGCCCCATTGTGGGATGGCTGAATCCATAATGGACTTGCTAAAGAGGCTTTTTTAGTGCCCAAAGGGCGGAGGGAGAAATAGCCTCCGTCCCTCTTTACACAGTATATTATTATTTCGACCGGCGCCAATCCGGTTCGAATTCCACAGAATTTAATTATTTCAACAAATCTAGAGTAAATAAATAATAATTGAAAACCGTTTTTGAGTCTGTACTGTACATGTTTTAATAGTGGGGAGGCGGAATTACAACAGAAATATGTACAAGTCACTGGTCTAAATGTGCGTACACTCGTCTCAGTTTCTCCTTTTTGTTTCTATTATAATGTTTCTTCCAAGGCTTCCCTTCCGGCACAGATGAACTTCCGGTCGAGCCAGGTTGCCTTCCTGCGTCCTTGGTATGGACCGACGATAAGGCCTGAAAACATACGCTCACTTTTAGAATGTCAATCGATGGCCGGAAAGCGACTGAGGAACGTTCTGTACTGTACCTTTCCGAAGAAGTTCCGGTCTAACTCTCGGACGAACTCTTTCTCTTCCTGAAACAGTTAAATCATTATTTATTTTTACATGTGACGTTTAAAGGTATGCAAGATACTTACTGGTTGGGGATGCGCAATCCGAGAACCGGCATCGGGAAAGGGGTGGAAGGTCTTCTGATCGACTCCGGGAGGAGCCCGACAATACAGCAGTCTTCCGTCGGCGAAGTCTTTCAGAACTCGCCGGGCCGCCCGAGAAACGTCGGGAAGTCCACCGCCAGTCAATAGTCCTCTGGTCTCTGTTCTTTCCCATATTAAAATAGAAACAGGAATAAATAAATAAAATGGTAATCGTCGCTTCCAAGCGCGTAAAAAACAAAGGAAGCTCTTCGAACGGTTAGGCGAAAAAGCCAAGTTGTGGGTTCGATCGATCGTCACTTCTCTTTTTTTTACCGAGGAAGGTCTCTTGGGAAATTCTACGATGGCCTCGATGGTAAGAAGCGCACCAATTGGGTGAAAAAAGGTGTCCACATTTTTTAACCGTTCTTAGGATAAAGTTAACACTCCGCGGAGAATTATCTCGAAAGACATGAGACAGAAAATAGAGATACTATCGACAAGTCTATGGAATTATACCACGCGACATACTCGAATACTTCCAGGAATGATGTCCGAATTGAAAAGACCGATTCCCACTACCCAATTCTTATTCGGATGGATGAAAGATAAACGATACTTACGGCCGTAGGCTTCCAGGAACTCTCGAGCGGTGAGGGATGGATGAGAATCTGAACCTTCACCAGACGTGGGAAGGAACAGGTTATAGGTAGCTCGTAGCACGTGCTCGGGAACGACGTCCGTTATCTGAATTTGTCGGTCAAGATTTAAATTAGCGAAATATTGAAAGATTAATGATGGGCATTCCGTTAAAAGGATACGAGAGAGACGGCGGAAAGAGGGTCCGTGGCATTATCGACCGATAGGATACCGTTCAGAATCATTTCGGCTCTGCTGGAAACGAAGTTGGGAAATACTAGTCCGGGACAATCGCACAGACACAACTCGGAGTCAATCATCAGCGTCTGAAATGATACGAAAAGTTCTCCTTGTAATAAATAAATCGGAAGAATTTCTCTATTCCTCTACGTTTTCTTCTGTATTTATGATATCTTTTATTTTATTTTTTTTCTGCGCGCACGTAGACTATGCCGCTAACTCAATAGACTATGCCGGTGGGTACTGAATTTCTCCCCGAAATAATTATCATAGACTTCCCATGGAAATGCTAGCCAACTGCCAAGTGCGAATAAAACGTTTTGTGGCCCGGCTTGGAATAGTACTTGTCGACACCAGGATCCAACGGACAAAACTTGAAATTTGGATCACCCTGGTTTGTTCTTATATTCGTCCATTCTTACCGATTTAAATTTCTTGAGTAATATTGTTCCGAATGAACATTACCGATTGGAATTCGCACCCAATAGTATTTTTGGTAAAATGTGTTTATGTAACACCTATCACGTGAAAATTTGCATCTCTCGGATTACTTTTTGGTCAGGAATATCGAAGACATTTTATCGTAAAGCCTCCAACCCTTTCAATATCCCATCAACCAGATAGCGGCATTCGGTACTGTAGGGAAACTAGCCAATTTTTCATATTAAGAATGCAAATGGTTTACTTTTAATCCTTTTTCTCTTAATTTAACTGAAAGAGCGAAGAATTTGGTCGTGGTATTATGAATGTCAAAACTATTAAGAATCCTAGAAATTTTATCGGGGAGAAAAAGTCAATTTTTGCTCATCGGTGTTTCCCTTGAAGCCGGATCAATCGACCAACTCCACCAATAAAGTCTGTAAAGCGACGTCGTGTTTCATTCGAGAGAAAAATACTGTAATTAGAATTAGAAGAATTTATCATATGGAATAAAACTTTTCTGGGCCCATTCTTTCGTCTAGATCAACGACTAATTTTGGTTCAAGTAACTTCAATCCTCCTCCCGCAACAATCTAATCTGCAGTACGATAGCATTCAAATAGGAAAATTACTTAATACGGACAACACAAAATGTTTTTAGGGGTTTTATTGGGTAACGAATTTAAATAATTTTTAACCTAATTTTTTTCCTTATAATTTTCTTTTTTACGAAAATTCCTCCACTCCGCAACTTAAGTATTTTTCTGATGAATTTTGCTACTTTAAAGCTTGATTTCAATATTACCAGAAAATATTTTAAAAAACAAATCAGAAAAAAAAACGTGATGGAAGTTCCTATATAGCAATTTTGGATTGAACGGATTCAGGATAACAGTGTTGAAAATATAGTGGTGCCTCGTATTTCGAATTTAATTCATTCCAGGAGGCCGTTCGAATCGTTCGAAGTCCGAGACAATTTTTCACATTAGAAACGATGAAAAGCAAATGAATCCATTCCCAGGCCCTAAACCAGTGTTTCCCAAAGTGGGGCGTACGCCCCACAGGGGGGCAATTTGATGGTTGGAGGGGGGCAATTTGAGAATTGACATGACATAATTTCTTCCCTTCGCTATGAGCTTTTTTAATGCAACGCTTTAGGTGACAAATAATATGAAAAAGAAAATTTTCTAAATAGAGGACTTAAATTATTAATAAGCATTTTTAAGATGGTATCAAAACCTAAACTATGTTATTAGAGTCCGCAAGTGAACTTTTCAGCGTTTCCCTTTGCTGTATCTCTTGTCGCAGAAATCTTGTATCTTTTAAAGTCGCTAAGTAACAACGTTTTTGCACAATTTTTTTTCTAAAAAATTAACTCTAATATTTTTAACACCTATATGTCATAATTGTCTGTCATTTATATGATTAAATGAATTAATTAATACATGTTGTAGAAATATAATTTTTACGTATTGAATAATTTATGTTTATTTTTTAACCATTTAGCTTTTTATATAAGTTTTTAAACTGTAAAACTATTGATAATATTTAAAAACTAATTAATTGTGCTTTTTT